GGGGGGGGACTTCTGGTGGTAAGGTTTGGAGACTTGGCAGGGAGCCAGCTTCAAACCATATCAACCACCAAATCAGGAAACTATTTGTGTCAATATATTCTTTTTGGTTTAATGAAAACAAAACATTTGATTGATTGCACTAAATGAAAAATAAAAAATAGTAGCACATTTTTTGTTCTGATGTGATAGTCATTTAACATAGTCATACAAATTATATACTTACATATGGGATCTGCTGCTAAGGCTGGATCTGATGGTTCACTGGGAGGGCCAATTCCAGCAAGATTTTCAGCCATAACTCTGAACTGGTACTCAACACCCTCAATCAAACGAAGCACATTGTGCTGTAGACCTTTTACTGATGGTTTTGTTACCGGAGCCCTGTTGACACGTGCCCAGTAGACGCCTCCCACTTCTCTCTTCTCCAACCAATAGCCAGTTATTGGGCTGCCACCATTGTCCAAAGGAGGCTCCCAAGTCACCAGCATAGATGATCTGGTGCGATCTAAAACTTTTGGCTTTCCAGGAGGTCCAGGAAGGCCGTAGGGATCCTTAATAACAACTTTTTCTGAGAGGCATTCATCACTTATTCCATATTTGTTTACAGCTCGGGCTCTAAATTGATATTTTTCACCTGTTGCAAGATTCCATACCTGAAAAATAAGATTTAAATCAATACTTGGCTACTTTTGGAATAAACTTATTTGGAGATATGCAGTGATTTTCACTTCAAATTTTGTCTTGGAATCTCGTTCACATACCTCTGTTTATTACTACACAGCTACATATGATGTCCTAAGGATATTCTTATTTCATGTGCATAGGACAAAACATAAATAAAAATGTCATCATGTGTGTTTTTGCAGTTGGTAAAACTGAATAATGCTGGAAAATGGAAAGGAAGATATCTTCTAGCTCAGCTGAAGTTAAGTAGCAATAGCGAATAATTTCTTTTCCTTTGTCACATGAGGGATAACACAGATACATGGATGGCCAATATAAATACTGGTCATTCATCCAGTAATTCTGGTGTCCAAATGGAGCATGAGCACAGGTGTCTATGCAAGTAGCAGATTTCATTAGATATGTAATATTGTTATTTTTTATGCATACTAAAGTATGTAATAATGATATTTTATAAATTACCCCAAATCTTCTCTCAACAACGCCTGTAGAGACTTCTTCCCACTCAGATTTCTTCTTACTGGCATCACGTTTCTCAATAATGTAATGGGTAATTTCACTACCACCATTATCAAGAGGTGCATCCCATGTTAAATAGCATGATTCTGCTTTAATATCAGAAACAGTAAGATTTCTTGGTGGAGAAGGACGATCTGTATGAAAGCAATAGAACATAGAACTACATTAAGAAAAAGGCAAAAGCATTTTATTAGCAGCATTTTATTAAAATGTTGCATCCTTACCATACACTTCGACGTGCACATTGCGAAATGCAGTGCCAAGACGATTGGAAGCTCTCACAGTGTAAGTGCCTTTATCATTCCTCACTGTTGCAGGCAGGATAAGTTCAGTTTTTGCTGCACTTCTAGATACTTCTTCCTTGGTTATCTTAAGTGCATCAGATGTTTGGTCAATTAAAACTTCATTCTTGTCCCATTCGATCTTTGGCATTGGCAGACCTGTCACATCAGCAGGAATATTAACTGGTTCTCCTGCTTTGACTTTGATAGTATCTCCTCTCACAGCCAAGCGCAATGTAACAGTTGGAGGTACTGAAAACAAGAAGAAAAATGACAGAGTGAAGATGAAACGGAAATTGCCTTGAAGTGTTCTGAAGATATTTATATGGATTTCTTTAAAGCAGATATACCTTCATCATCTTGTATGACTACGTTGAGGGGCAATGATGGTTCACTTTCTCCAATTTCATTAACAGCTTTGACACGGAATTCATACATATGAAGTTCATCAAGTTTGTCAACGAGAAGAGATGTTTTTGGACAGAGCCTTGCATTAACTCTTTCATAATCTTTTGAATCATGTCTCCTCTTCTCAACAATATACCCTAAGATGGGACTGCCACCATCACTACGCGGAGGCTTCCAATCAAGTGTAATGGTTGATTTTGTTCGCTCTGTGTACATGAACCTCTCAGGTGCCGTTGGAGGGCCTATTAACACAGACAAATTATAATGAAAAAAAATTAGAGAATTTTAAATTGTAAAAATGCAGTAGCTCTAGGATTTTAAAACCATAACTTTTGTATGCAAAGAATCTGAGTATATTATAGATATAGATAGTATATTATAGATAGTATAAAGTCTCTCATGTATGTGGAGAAAAAGGTAATAAGTAGTGTCTCCATAGGCACCATACATAAAGAACCATAGTAGTTTCACAGAAGTGATTTAGACATCTGACTAAAGTAATTGATCTAAGGCAGATGCCTATCCATGTAATTGAAAAGTAAATACAATTTCTGTATAGAAAGCAATTCACACAACAATATTGGTTTATTAACTTTTTTTTTTTTTTAAATCTCATAAAGTTAGTCATCTTACCTAATGGGTCAACTGCAAGAATGGGCCCTATTTCAACAGGTGGACCGGTACCAAATTTGTTCTTGGCACTAACACGGAATTTATATTCCTGCCCTTCAAGTAGACCTGTAATATCACATTTAGATCTTTCTGTGTCTACAGCTAGTCTCCATGTATGCATTTTGGCATCCTTCCGTTCAACAATGAAGCCTATGATATCACTGCCACCATCATCTTCAGGATCAGACCAGTTAAGCAAACACATCTTTCTGTTTGTGACCACTGGCTTTAGGTCAAGGACTGGTCCAGGAACGTCTGAAAAACAAAATCAAACAAATACGGCAAAGCCCATACTAACCAAAAGAAATGCTTAGTTGATTTGAGAAAATATTTTTCTTACCAAATACTTCTACTCTGGTTCCTGCAGATTTCGAACCACTGCTATTGGTAGCAGTAATTACATATCTTCCATGGTCTTTTCTCAATGCATTCTTAATGGTTAACTCAGATTTTGTGCCAACATTTTCAATAACAACTCGATCTTTGTCTAGTTCACCATCCTCCACAGTCCAAGCAATGGTGGGAGTAGGACGTCCTGTCACAATAGCAGGAATTTTAATAGTTTGCCCAGCCATGATCTGAATGCCTGCTTTGACAGAAACATCTAGCTCAACAGTGGGAGGCTCTGCAGAAGAGAGAGAAACACATCATTAGCTGAAGGGAGGGATTCAAACCCACCTATTAAGCAGCTGGACATTTCTTGAAAGCAATGCAATTGCAATACCTTTAGGTTCTGCAACTGTTGTGGGTTCAGTTTCACCAGGTGGTCCTTCACCAGCTGCATTGAGAGCCGTAACACGGAGTTTATAATCTGCACCTTCTCTGACTTCTGTAACAGTGTACTGTCGAACCTTAATGGGTTTCTCTGTACAACGTGACCACTCCTTTACTCCCATCAGTTGTTTGTACACATGGTAACCAGTGATATCTCCACCACCATTATACACAGGAGGTTCCCATTCTAGCTCAATAGAAGTTGCACTTGTATCAGCAACCCTTGGAATTGGTGGACCAGGTGGCACTACAAATAAATAAGTGTAAATCGCAGTTAAAGGCTATGAATACTATTTTGTCACCTGTATGCTGTTAGTTTCTGCTAAGATACTTACTTATTGGGTCCTGTGCAGTTTTTGGATCTGATGGTGGACTAAATTTACCAGGGCCAGCTGCATTTTCAGCACATACTCTAAAGATATAAGTTAAACCTTCCAGTAGTCCTTCAACTTTTACTTCCAGAGCATTCACAAGGCTTCTGTTGACCCGAGCCCAATGAGTACTATTAATTTCACGTTTTTCAATCCAATATCCTATGATAGGGCTGCCATTATCTTTTGGTTCATTCCACTTAACCAGCATACTGTTGCTGGTAACATCTTCCACATCAGGCTTATTAGGTGCATCTGGTGGAGCTGAAAAAAAATAATTGTTGTTTTGTCATCATTGCTGTCTATTCAGAGTTTACTCAAAGCTAAGAGAGAACTAAGATATAAGAAATTACTAATTTTAAGTAATTAATAGTTTTTCTGCTCTTTTTCTTAGAAACTTTGAATCCTAACAGCAATCAGTAATCAAACTGCAGTAGTTCTCTCTTTTGGTAAGAATACTCATCTATTAAACATAGAGAATGCCACTATTCAGAAGGTAAGTGTTTTAAGTGTAAAGTTTTATGACAGTGATCATCATTCTTTAACATTTTCAATAGTTCTCTTTATTTCAATGTGCAATAAATATCACATTACTCAAATTTTTTCTGGGAAACATTCACCCAGATGAAGCTGAGTATTGTAAGAGTCTGTAGTTTTACACTGTTTTTCTGAAAAAGTTATATTTCAAAATTAAAACTTACAGAAAGGATCTTTAGCTGTCATTGGTTTTGAAACACATGGTGGCCCTGCTCCAACTCTATTTTCAGCAAATACACGGAAGAGATATTCTTTTCCTTCAATCAGTTTTGTAACATGGAATTTGCAATGCCTGAGTGTTGAACTGACAGTGACCCAGCCCATTTCAGCTTTTGTATTGTCTTTCTTTTCCAGTACATAGTTTAGGATTTCACTTCCGCCATCATCAAGAGGAGGCTCCCACTTGCAGATGACAGAATTTTTCCTGATATCTTCAAATACAAAGTTGACTGGAGGCCCAGGTATATCTGTCAGTAAACCGAGAAAAATGATCAGTACTTATCATTTGCACTTCTTACCCAATACTCTGAACAACTAGGTGTTTTAAGAACATTCTTTACGCACCTAACACATTGACTTCACATGAGGCTTTTGCAACACCATGATCATTTTCTACTTTAATTGTAAATGTGCCATGGTCAGCTCTGATGGAGTCACGAATTGATAGTACAGACTCCCCTTCTTTATGGTTGTCAACGCTCAAACGTTCTGGCAGTGACAGCTGGAAAGGTTTCTCTTCTACAGCTTCACCCTTCTTCTTTGGTGTTGTTATTCTCTTTTTGATATCCTCTGGTCTGACAATTTCATCATTCCTCAGCCAAGTGATAGATGGGTAAGGTGACCCTGAAATATGTGCCTCAAGTATGATCTCATCACCTCTTTTCACTTCAAGGCCAGACTGTAGGTTTGCAGCAAGGAAGACTTTTGGAGCCTCTGTAATAACAGAGAATGATAAATAGAGTATAGAATCTTCCAATATGTTTGAGGATGCATGGCAATTAATACAAACAATCAAATTATTTTTTCATACCAATAGGATCCACAGCTTTAACGAAAGGAGTAATCCGAGAAGGTTCACTGATGCCAGCAGCATTCTCAGCACGAACACGAAACTGATATTCCTTTCCTTCCTCGAGGCCTTTCACTGGATAAGTTAGTAAGGGTACCAGATAGTCATTGCATCTCTCCCACCTCTCTTTGCCCTTTGCGAGTTTTTCTATTATATAGCCCATAATTTTGCTTCCACCATCAAACAGGGGTGGTTTCCATGTAAGTGTTACTGATTTTGATGTTGGATTATGGACCTCAAGGTCAACAGGTGGATCTGGAGGCTCTGTAGAAGAGTAGATCAAAAGAAGGGTCATATAAGAAAGGGAAAGGACGAAGATATTAGTTAAAATTCAATTTGCTAGATTATTTAATAGTAAGACAAACTTACGTTTTGGGTCTTCTGCAATGATTGGGTTTCTTAGTTCAAGATAATCACCTCCTCCAATCTTATTGACAGCTTTAACACGGAAGTAATATTCACAGTTTGGGATAAGGTCTTTAACTTGCCATGAAAGCTTATTTTCACCAGACATGACTGGGATATATGTTCTACGACCTGCTTCTCTGCGTTCTAGGACGTAATGCAAAATAGGAGTACCACCATCGAAGTCTGGAGGTTCCCAGGATACTTTGCAAGAATTCTTAGTTACTTCGCTTGCCTTGATGTCTTTACACTGCCCAGGTGGACCTGTTTTAAATAAGAATAAAAAATTAGTTATCTAAATAGATGGGAAACTGTATTCATATAAATATGAAATCATGTCTTTGCTTTGCAGAAAGCAGACCAAGGCCACAAATGTTGACTACACACCATGTATATGAATTTGTTCCCAACAAGAGTCAGAATTCTTAAAATATTTTTATATTTATACTATAATTATTCAAAATAATTGGGCTTTGAGCAGCCACTGAATAGTTAGAGCAACTTGCGGTAATGTTTTTTCATGGGATTTCGTAACATTAATGTCTGTATGACAATCTACATGTGTCTGAATTGAAGTGATTTGTCCACCTGGCAGAAAGAAATATCTTTCTAGTCCTTTCTTCTGTCAGCTGCAGGGCCCAAATGAAGATAAGAATACTTCTTGGAAGGGAAGAATCTAGTTACCTATGACTTTGACATTGACTGAGCCAGTCGTTGATGCCAGCTTATTCTCCAGTGTGATAGTATAAACACCAGCATCAGCATGAACACTGTCTACGACTTCGAGCAATGCAGAGGTGTAGTCACTCTTCATTGATGTTCTGTCACCAGCTTTCAACTCTTTGCCATCTTTGTGCCATGTTATAGTTGGGGATGGAACAGCTCTGAAGGGTATAGGGATACTTAATTTCTGTCCTTTAACAACAACAATGTCACGAGTTTGTAGATCAATGGTTGGATTGCCTGTAAAAGTAAGTATAATATTACTAGAAAGTTGCCAAACACCATTTTTTTCATTATGCAGATCTGAAAAAAAAAAGGAATCTATTCTTACAGTCTGGGTCTTTGGCAACAACTTTTTCTGAGATGTCTGATGGCTCACTAGCTCCAACAGCATTGACAGCTCTGACTCTTAGCACATATTCCTTGTCTGGAACCACACCTTCCTCCACTTTACATTTTAGATCTTTTATTGGACGAGAATTGATTCGCATCCATTTTTCTGTTCCTGCTTCACACATCTCAACATTATACCCAATAATAGGACTTCCACCATTCTTCTCAGGAGGTTTCCATGCAATGCAAATGTGATTTCGGCCTGCATCTGTGACATGTAAATCTTGAGGAGGTGAAGGAGGGCCTGCAGAAATGGAAAAGTTATTGTGCCATTTTTCTCTCAGAATATCTGTTCCACACAGTACACTGCTTCTATAATCCATACACTGTATATTTTACTACTACTTACTTGTTGGATCTTCAATATGAATGAGGTCAGTTGGTTCACTGGGATGACCACAACCAGCTTCATTTTCTGCACGAACCTGGAACTGTACATCTGTACCTTCAATGACATCTGTCACTCTGAAATTGCAATCTGGACCAGCTGTCTTGCCAGCTTTTACCCAGCGTGTGGCCAGTTTTTCTTTCTTTTCAATAACATATCTGAATAAATTGGGGAAAATACTATCAGGCACTTGAAATAAGGAACACTTCAGAGTTCTTGTTCAATAAAATAGATAAAAAGAGATTAGAAGAGCTTGTACAGTGAACAGCAAAGAGAGTCATGAGTAATAGATTCAATGAACTTTTCTTCACACATTAGTCACTTAGTCCTAGTAGGTCTCAGCCCCTATTAGGGCTGACATCACTGACAAAGCCAGGTCTGAAAGCCAATACCTGAACTGTGTTCTGTGTTTTAGAACTGAATTAAACTCTGTTTTCAGATTTGAGAGAGCTACAGAGGCAAAAGAACCTCCAAGCTATACTTTTATCTTTCCTAGTTTGGATCTCAGTGGTTAGTCCATTGAGAGTATTTGTAGATATTATTACTCAGCTGTCAAAATTCTGCTTAGGATAGGCTATAGCAAAGTAATGCAAATTAAGTAAATTACGTTGCTTCAGGCAGATCTCTGAACTCGTCTGTTCCTTTAACTTGAGCTTACTGTGATTGGGAAGGAGAGGAAAAATCAAAATGTAAAGAGGAAAAATCCAACTGGCATTCAAGGTGAATTTCAGAGTACAGATACTTTAGAAACCAAATTAAAAGACAAGTTAGAAACAACCTAGAAGATTTAAACAGTCTGTTTGAGAATTGTTATAAAGAAGAGAATGAACAGAAAAGAGGTGAGGCTTCATTTTAGCTGAGTGTATATAGTCTGAAGGAGAAACTAAGCAGAAGGAAAATGCAACAATATTACTTGATAGATGAGTCTAAGTGGCTACATAGATAAGTCTAAGGATGTTGACACATATTCCTTGTCCATGCATATTAGGTATTTTATTTGCATGATTTCCACATTTTAAAATCAAAACCTTAACTGCTTTGACCATATGGCTTCTCTTACATCCATCTATCTCTTTTTCATATAAAATTTGTCCACTTAAAATTTAAACATTTTGAGAGAAATGTCTTAATTCATTAAAAGATTTTCATCTATAGGAACCTATACAAACTTAAAATGACCTTACCTTTGAATCGGTCTGCCACCATCATTCTTAGGTGGTTCCCACTTCAAGTCAACATGATCTTTTTTCACTTCAGCTATTGTAAGGGCATATGGAGGCCCTGGGGTTGCTAAAACAGAAAAAAGGCACACATTAGAAGACTAGGAATTCATTATGCATGAGCTACTGATCACTCAGTAAGCAAATCAAAACTTACTGAAAGTATCTTTAGCAAGCACTGAGTCTTCAATTTCACAGTAGTCACTCTGTCCAATGGCATTTTCAGCAGCCACACGGAACACATACAATGAGCCTTCAGTCAGCGGGCTCACTGTGTACTTGGTATCTTTCACTGTTGTATCAACTGTCTGCCAACCTTTTCGCCTTACATCTCTTTTTTCAACAATGTAGTTGGTAATTGGGGAACCCCCGTCTTTTTCTGGTACTGTCCATTTAAGATCTGCTGTGTTTTTAGTAATATTAATAACTTCAAGCCAGCGAGGTGGTGAAGGAGGATCTGCAAAATAGAAAAAGAAGGTAAACCAGATCATCGTAATTCCCTCGAAAGATCTTGGAGGTCGGGGAATACACCTAAAGTTTTAAAGCTTTGTATTTTCTGAGCTGAAGCAAGGCAAATTTTATATTTCATAAGCTTTCCAATAGTTTGGTGCCTCCGGAAACAGGCAGACATGGGGCTTTTTTAATGGTAGAAACAGTCTATTTGCAGCAAGAGCACATTCTGAAACAGTACTCACAGAGTCTCTCCTTGCACAGCACGGGGTCACTGGGTTCACTGGGCTCACTCTCGCCAGCCTTGTTCACAGCTCTTACACGGAATGAATATTCTTGTTTCTCCATAAGATCTTTGAGGAAGTGTTCAGTTGTGGGAACTCCTTCAGCCACTCTCACCCACTCATCTGTTCCAGTCTTTAACAGCTCAATGACGTAAGATTCAATCTTTGCCCCTCCATCATGTTCTGGCTTTGTCCAGTTCAGGGTCAATGATGTCTTGCCAATATCTTTCACAGTGGGCTTTCCAGGAGGCCATGGTGGATCTAGACAAGAGTTCAATATTAATTATGTGATTGAAAACAGTTTTTGTTGTTGTTGCTAAATTAAACTATTAAAAATGTGTTTATTATACCAATTGGATCTTTCACTAAGATTGGCTCTGTTTCCTTGCTTGGTTTTCCAGGTCCTGCAAGATTCTCTGCCAAGACACGGAACTTATATTTCTTCTTGTTTGTAAGACCTTTAACTCTGAAAATAAAAATTGTTTGATTAAACCAAAGTTAGATATTAATTAATGTTTAAAACATTATTCTCTCTATTCTTCATATCACAGTTTACTTGGAAAATCTGAAAATACCTAAATTACTGCTAATGATGTTTTATGAAATGTTGAACATTTGAGCTAGGCATATTGTCAAGAGTAAAACAGAGAATCATGGGACAGAAATGAGTGTTATAAGAACATCTTGCGTTTTTGCATGTTCTATATTTTTTTAGTTAATAAGAGTACCAGCAGAAAAAACCCAAATTTTTTTGTTTGATACTTGAGATGGCTATATCTGCTATTTTAGAATATCTTATGAATAATCACATAGCACAGAAATTATTAAGCATAGCATTTAAAAAAATAAAATACTTGATTAACTCTGCTGTAAAGACATGTTTCTTTAAAACTAATTATGAAAAAAGTATGCCACCAGATGGTAGCTAAATCATAACTTATGGAAGTTAGGAAAAAAAGAGAAAGAACAATGTAAAACTTATTTAAAAGACTACTGTTTCTGTCTCTGTGACATATTTCAGCTTAAATTGACTGTAGTCTTACTTGAATGTTGTATCTTTCACTGGCATTTTATTGCATTTTATCCATTTATCCTGCTCAGGATCATATCTTTCAACCCAGTAGCCAGTTATGGGGCTGCCACCATCTTCATCTGGTTCATTCCATGTTAAAGTGACTGAATCTTTAGTGACCTCTGTAGGCTTGAGACCTGTTGGAGGGCCTGGTGGATCTGTATAAATTAATTAATGAAAAACAAAAACAAAACAAAAAACCAAAACCATCAGATGTGGGCTTTTTTCTCCTTATTAAAATATTGTGAAAATTTAACATTAATTTAATTAACTAACCAAATGAATATTTGGCAATGATGGGGTTACACTGTGCTGGCTCCCCAATACCATACATGTTCTCAGCACTGACTCGGAACACATATTCTTTATGAGGAGTTAAGTTGGTAGCTCTGAATTTTGTATCCTTAATAGTTGATGACAACTTGTCCCATATTTCACTGTCTGTAGCTCTCTTCTCAAGGACATAGTTGGTAATTTTAGAACCCCCATCATCTCGTGGAGGATTCCATGTTAGAAGGCAGGATTCGTTTGTGATTTCTGTTACATCAAATGCAGCTGGTGGACCAGGTTTATCTGTAGAGGATAAGATGTGAAAGTTAATCTTCTGTTTGCATACTTCAGTACATTTCTAATTATTTATATAAACAACATAGAATACATGCATACCGAGGACATTAACTTCAACAACAGCAGTAGCACGTCCACTGGAATTTACAGCTTCTATAATATAGGTTCCACTGTCACTCCTTTTGCTGTCTGTAATGGTCACTGTGGATTGATTAGGCTGGCTTTCAATGGTGATTCTGTTGTCAGGTCTCAAAATTTTGTCAGCCTTGGTCCAAGTAATCCGGGGCTCAGGTTTTCCAGTTACTTTAGCTGGTAGCTCAATTTTAGTTCCAGCTTTCACAGTAAGTCCAGCAAGAAGCTTCACATCTAAGAAAATTTCTGGAGCCTCTGATTTAGGAGAGAATAAAAATGTTTATATAGAAACAGTATTTCAGAGACTGGTAAAAAGAAAGCAGCTATTGTAATTCAGCAGTTGAAGTAATTACCTTTTGCATCAATGGCCTGAATATCATCAGTTGGCTTGCTTGGCCTGCTAGCTCCTATTCTGTTCAGAGCCTTAACCCGATATGCATACCACTCTCCTTCCAGGAGCTTTGTTACTTCCATTCTGTTAAAAAAAAAAATAAATCAGATATTTAAAGCAATGATGATGGCATAGTTAGTTGAAAATATGTATCTACTGATGTCAATTTACTTACTTCGTTTCAATAACAGGCTCCCCACATATCTCCCACTTGTCTGTGCCACGTTGGGATTTTTCTACCAGATAACCCTTAATGCGGGCACCGCCATCATATTTTGGAGGCTCCCAGGTCAGGAAGATTCCTTTTGATGTTGGATTTCTCCATTTAACATTTTCCGGTGGGTCAGGCACCGCTATTAAAAATTAAAACATATTTTGTTTTTACATCTTATTTTGAAGAAAATCAGTAAGATTTCAGAAACAGAAAATTAGCAGCAATATGCTCACTTGCTGGTGTTGACATATTTACAGGTTCATCAATATATGCAGGTTCTCCAGGGCCACATTTATTGCATGCAGAAACTCTAAATAAATATTCTTTTCCTTGGACGAGGTCAGGTACAGTGAACTCATGGTCAACAATATGATCCATAACCTGAAGACCAGAAAGGTTCCAATGTGTTTTTAAAATTTATTTCCGAAGAGTGATTACCAATATAAGACACAAAACTCAGTAGCACATGTGGAAATAATATAGCAATAGAAATTCAAATGAGAGAGAATGAACTTACTTTGCTCCATGTTTTCCGGCTTACTTCACGTTTTTCAATTACATAGCCAGTAACTGGACTTCCACCATCATCTTCTGGAGGTTCCCATGACAACTGTACTGTAGTCTTGAGTACTTCTAAAACTTGAAGTTCTTTTGGTGCACTTGGAGGAGCTAGAAGCCATAGAAATTGCATTAATTATTTTGTAATTGGTGTTTGATAGATGATCACTATGTAATATATCTGCCAGAAGACTTAGTCTTGTTAGTCATTCTTCCTTAAACAGTAAAACCAGAATGTTGAAAACCAGAAAAGACTTTTTTTGAGGATGGGTTTCTAGTTTTTAGTTATATTTTAATGTACTTGGTTTATTGGACATTGTGAAATTTCATATTGTTAACCTAATTAGATTTTAGCATGAAAAATATGGAATATTATTGCTAGAATATATACATGTCCACTTACCAATGACATTAACATTAATTTCTCCTGAAACAGATGACACAGGGTTTTCTAATGCTAAGTAATAAATTCCCTTGTCTGGACGTTCACTCGGAGTAATTACAAGTTCTGCAAAGGAGGCAGTGGTCTTCATTTTTACACGATCACCCTCTTCTAAGACTTGATCACCAAAAGACCAGGTGGCAGTTGGAACAGGATAGCCAGTGATAGGAACACGGATCTTGATTGGCTCTGGAACAATAACTTCCAGCCCATCTTTAAATGCACTTAGGTCCATTGTAGGTTCAACTGGAAAAAGTGGAAAATGGATTCTATGAAATATTTTCTGTTGTTATGAATATGGGTAATGATAACTGTGTTGAGAGGTTGATTCTGATTGTATCTCAGCTTTCAGGGTGGAGCTGCCTAGACCTAGCTTTGGCTTATCACTGCCTACCTGTCCTGACTAAAAGCCTTTTTTTTTTTTTTTTTTTTTAGAAATATGTGAGATGATAACGGAGATTAGCATTACCAAATAGGATATCTAATTTCCCTTTAATATAAGAACTATGTATTGTTTAATTTTTTTTTTCCCCAGAGGTCTTCTATGCCTTTCTCTCTGTTATCTCCCATCTTCCACAAAGCTTGGTCAGGAGACGAAAGGTCATGCCTTCCTCCTCAGGCAACCTAATAGGCCTCTACCTAATAGTACAGATAATTATCTGAAGAATTCATAATGAAGAAGAAATGGCTCATAAGCTCGAATGTCTAAGGTGTGACAGTTATCTGGTGAGAAATCATCACATATTACCCACAAGATACTCTTTAATAATGTGCCTTATCTGATTAATTGTCTTTAACAACTAGCATATGGCTTACCAAAAGTATCATCTGCAGTTAACGGTCCAATAGCCTCTGCTGGGTCAGACACACCAGCTGCATTTTCTGCTGAGACTCTGTAGTAATAACTGGATCCTTGTTTCAATCCAGTTACCTAAAAAGCACAAATAATACTTTACTAACTCATATTAGAGATGATTTATACATTTTAAGTGTTGATGAAAAGGACGTCATACCTTAAAAGTAAGAGCAGGTACTAGTTTTGGGTTACAACGAATCCACTTGTCCGTTCCTTCTTCTTGCCTTTCAACAATATAGCCCAAGATTGGACTTCCTCCATCTTCAAGAGGAGGTTCCCATGTGAGCTGAACTGATGACTTAGTTTGATCTGAATGCTCAAGGTTAATGGGAGGACTTGGTCTCTCTGAAAAAAAATTGCAACAAATACTTTTTTGCCACTGACAAAGAAGTATTGTTCTGCAAATTAGCTATTTGTATCTTACAGTAATGTTTCTAAAGCCTTTGCATAGTTTTTTCTCAACCAAAATTCTAAACTGAGTTGGATCCTAACTTCAGAGCAAAAATATTTAGAGTTCTTACTGAACCAAATGGTAACAAGGTACTTCTGATATGTTTGGAGGACAAAAATAGCCAAAAATCTAACTGCACACAGTATTTGCAGCACACACATTTCTCAACTGAACTTTTGTGCGCTCATGGCATAAACATCCAAAATGTCCCTGTCTCATAATGCAATCACAATCATGCATACTTTGCATACTTACCAATTGGGTCCATAATTTTTACTGCACGTGTAGCAGGACTTGGTTTGCCAACTCCAACCATGTTTTGAGCTCTTACTCTGAAGAAATATTCTTCATTTTCCACAACATCAGTCAGGAGAGCTGACAATTCATCAGCTCCTGTGGTCATAGTTGGCTCCCATCTGATGGAACCTTTGTTACGCAGTTCAATAACGTAGCCAGTTATTGGAGATCCTCCATCATACTCAGGTGGTTCCCAGCTAAGTGTGGCTCCAAACCTGTTCACATCACTAACTTCTACGTTTTGAGGAGGACCAGGAACATCTGCATTTTATTTTAGGGAGAAAAAAAAAAACTAAAGTATGTGGGTTTTATCTATTGTTAGAGTTTATACTGCTTTTCTTACACTGCTGTCCAACACTGATTTTTTGATAACTTCTACTCACCAAATTTGCTCTTAGCTTCCACAGGTGTGTCTGTTTCCACTGGCTCACCAGTACCCACTCTGTTGCGTGCACTAACACGGAAGAGGTACTCAACTCCTCCTTTTTGAAGTCCAGTAACAGTGTATTCACAATTTTCAGCACGATCTGTGACCGTAATCCAGGTTTTACGCTTAATATCACGTCTTTCAACAACATAGCCTATGATTTTACTTCCACCATCACTTTCTGGTTCTTGCCAGGCGAGACCAACTTCACCATCATAAGTTTCAGTGACTTCCAAGTTTCTAACTGGACCTGGAACATCTAATAAAGATATGACAATATTTCAGTATTTCAGGGCATTGCATCTTTTTTTTCCCCCCCTCTGGCTAGAGAAGAGGAGGCCAAGAGAAGACCTCTTTACAATCTACAGCTTCTCCCTAGGGGCAAGTAGAAGGTATGATTCTATGAAATAAATTTAACAGGGGTTTTAATAATAGAAGTACTTACCAATGACCTCTACACTGATGAATGCTTCTGCCTGCCCATGTTTGTTTCGAAGCACAACCTTGTACCTTCCCTTATCTGATTTCTTTGCTTCAAAAATTTTGAAGGTAGTGCAGTCAGTTGTTGTATCAACAGTTGTTGTGGGCAGACTTTCCCCTGCTTTTGACCATTCAGCTTCTGCTCTTGGGTAGGCATCGTATGGGACAGTCATAGTTAAAGGCTTCCCAACATCAACCACAAGATTTTGATCACCAGTCTTGATTTTAGGTGCAGCTAAGAAAGATCAATGTGACAAGTAAGCTATAAAGATGAATATGACTTGCATATATATATATATACGTATATATATATAAAAATCGTATGTTTGTGTAGTCAGCAAAGATGCTAACATAGAGAAGTAAAAGGAGCTGCTGTGTAAATTCTAGAGGAAATCCTTCTTATACTCGTTGGACAGCTCCACAGAAAGAAATTCAGCCGGTTGATATACTGTATTGTGTTCTCCTACAAAATCAGGATAGATCGAGTTGCTTTTTGAGCATTAATTTAATTATTTTATTGTTCAATCCTCTAAAGCAGACAAATTAGGAATTAAGTGTCTTATATGACTGAAATAAGTAGGTCAAATAATTTCCATGTTTTATTAGTGGTTTAATGAAAAGGTTCTGCCTTCTTTAAGCTCAAATCATGCTCTTTGGTATTGACATTGAAAAGTGACCTATATTTTCCTCAACAGTTGGACCAGCATGGTATAATAAAAAATATTTTTTGCTTTAATTATAATTCATATAGTTTAACAGACTTGCGCTTTTCTCAGGCTGATTGTGTATTCATTTTAGTTCAGCTCTTTAAAAGGACAAAAATCAATTCACTTAAACAGTTAATTCACTAAGATTTTATAAAAGAAACACAAAGCAAGCAACTTACCGGCTAATTCAAGCTTAGCTCTAGCTTCCTTATCTTTGGCGATAAATCTGTATTCCCCTTGGTCACGGGGCTTTATCTCGCAAACCTGCAGCCTGTGGACCTTCCCTTCACTCATCATCTGATGTTTGTCACCTTGGATGATAATCATGTTGTTTCTCAGCCACTTGACCTCCACACCATCTTTGTTCAATTCAGCCATGAAGATGACATCTGCACCAGGAACTTCATAAATATCTTGTGGTGGTCGGATAATCTCAACCGGGATTTCTGAAATAAATGGTAGTTAATTAGTGTTATTTGTTTATTGTTTCTACTATTATTAAACAAAGAAGAAATAAATCCTATTTGATTTTACAAATACCTTCAACAAAGAGTCTTGCTCTAGATCTCCTGTCATCCACTCCACAGGAATATTCACACTCATCATCTAGTCTACAGTCTTTTATGATTAATCGGTGCAGATTTCCATCCTTTTCAAACTGGTATCTTTATGGGGGAGAAAAATAAGTGGCATTTTAGCTTCCAAGCAACATAATAAAGCAAGTACGTTTAACACATTAACAAGCATAATAAAATGTACGTACTTTTTGCCTTCTTTGATTTCTCTTCCATTTCTGTACCATTTTACACTGACTTTCTCTTTGGAAAGCTGGCATGTAAAGACAGCATCATCAAATTCAGTGACAGTCTGGTCCTGAAGATGTTCAGTGAAGTCTGCTGGTGCTTCTGTGATGAGAAGCTCTGCAACAGATTTGTCTTGTCCAGCAGTAACAGTGTATTCACCTTCATCTATAAACCCACAGTCTTTAATGATCAACGAGTGTTTGAATTTATCAATTTTGTACAAAATGCGCCTGTCGAATGCGATCTCTTCGCCATTCTTTGTCCATTTGAGAGTTGCATTAAGGCGATTGACTTTGCACCAGAATGTGACAGTTTTCTTTTCCATAGTCTCAATGTCTTCAAGGGGTTCAACAATTTTGAGATCCTCCTCTGTTACGACAAAAAAGTGAACATTTTTACATCCTCATATGAAACTGAATGTTGATGAAACAATTTTAATACAGTGCAAGAGATTTACCTAATACTGTTAAGGCAGCAGAGCTTTTGACCTGTTCACCTCTCTGGTTTGACAGTGCAATGCTGTAGGTAGCTTGATCTTTCAGCTCTGCGTCTCTGATTCTGAGAGTGTAAACTAAACCCTTCTGAACAATAATGTACTTTGCACTATCAAATATTGCTTCATCATTTTTGTACCACTTCTCTTTGGCACCTTCTTTATTAACTTCACAGTGGAAGATAACTTCTTGGCACTCATTAACTTCTTGGTCCTTAAGGGGAGTTATAATTCTGAGTTTTTCTGAAATTGAGAAAACAGAAGAAATAGAACATCATATAGTATAAGGAGTGCAACAAAACATGCATCTACATATTGATAAATTAAAGCTTACCAATCACTCCTAAGTGTGCTGCAGCTTTAGCTTCACCAACCATGACGCTGTACATTCCTGTATCTCCTAGAATAGTGTCTTTAACCACAAGTGTCCTCTTCTTGCCATCTGAAATGATGTCGTACTTATCACCAGGCTCCAGGACTGTGTCACCTCTCAGCCACTGTACTTCAATGGCCTCTTTGGATACTGTACAGACAAATTCAGCTTTTTCTCCTTCAAGCACCTCAAGATTTTGTGGTCTGGTAAGAAATTCTGCTGCAAGTTCTGAAAGAAAACATTTTTGTAGATATATATAATTTTATTTTATTTTTACTTGTGAAGGGAGTAAACCAAATTGTGTATTTTTACTGTTTTTGAAATATTTTTAATTTTATTCTTTTTTTTTCCCAGAAAACAAGGCCACCAAAGTAACACTTACCGTGTACAGTAAGTTTTCCTGTTGTACTAGAGCTCGGGAGCTTGCAAGTATATTTGCCAGCATCTTCTGGATGAGCATTATGTATAAGAAGAATTCTCTTTCTACCATCAGAAATGTGTTCAAATCTACCACCATCAGGTACCTCTTCATCTCCTTTAAGCCAAGTAACTTCAGCATTAGGCCTTGAAACTTCACAGATCAATTTTACAGTGTCATTTTCGTTTACTTCAAGATCAGGAAGATTTTTTGTGAAAACAGCCTCCTCCTCTGCAAGAAGAATTTTGAAAGATGATTAAAGCTTGTCATAAAAAACCCTCACATTTTTTATTTTTCACATATTAGATTGTAAAACACTGTGTTTACCTATCACTGTAAGTAGGCCTGAAGTTCGAGCTGTTTTTGCTTCACAGGAATATTCAGCTTCATCATCAAAGACACATTTATTGACAACAAGAATGTGTTCTGCACCTTTGGAAATTATATCATACTTTTTGCCTTTTCTGATTTCCATGCCATCCTTAAACCACTTCACCTGTTTCAGAACAAATTAACATGGTTATTAATAATAACACACTCATCATAGATTTCAGTTGTATTTTCTTTTATAACTACGTAATAGAGTTGTCTCCATTAGTTGAAGGAATTACTGAGATTAAAAAGTATTATTATTGACCTTGACACCTGGACGAGAAATTTCACATTCAAACCGAGCAGATTGTTTTTCTTTAACCTCAAGGTCAGTTAGAGGTTTCAGGAACTCAACACGAATAGCTGTAAGAGAAAAGGAAATATTTAGCAGAGGAAAGTCTACAGTAGAGAAGAAAAAAATTGCTGACACTGATATTATTATTAGTCATGGACACTAGTACATAACTTTTATAGCATCTAGACATTTTGTAGAAAACTGCAAATTACTCACGTTCTACATTGAGAAAACATGATGTCTTAAAATCCTTAGCATCACAGCTATATGTTTTTGCATCGTCCAGTGTGCAGCCATGGATGATGAGTTTTCTGACTCTGCCATCAGAAATTATATCATACTTCTTCGATTTGTGAATTTCTTCTCCATTTTTGAACCATTTAACTTTTGCATTTTCCCTGGAAACTTCACATTCCAGTATTGCAGTGGCCTCCTCTTCAACAGTCTGGTCCTCAAGTGGTTTAGTAAATTCAACAGGGGGTTCTAAAAGAGACAGATGGATTTTTTGATAGAAAAGATCTAAACGATAGCCAGTCTTCTGCTTATACAGAACAGTCCCATGCTATTTACTAATTTTGCTTGACTGAATAATCAAAAAGGCTCTTGGATGTCTCTGCTGAAGGTTTTTTAAAACTTTATTCCTAATGCACAGGCATGGTTTTGTTAATTCTGTTAATTTCCTCATTTTCAGCCTACTGTAAGATGAGACTGAATGATATCCTTTTCCATGGGGTTTTTAATTACAAATCATGACAAATCCTTGCAAATCAGTTTCTTTAGCTGAACCATACCCATGCAATCTCAGTGACTCTAAAATCACACTCTGACCTTTGACGATTTTTTTTTTTAGTTTTTCCTTGAATTACTGGATTAGTGTGTGCCCTTTTTTTTATTTCTTAATATTACACAGTTTGCAAGTGTACAAGTGGGTATACAGACAATGTTATATCCCTTGCCTGATGGTACAATTATGCTCTCATAGGTTTCTGGACATTCCAAAGAACAGAAAAAGCCACCAGAAGCCATAAAGGCCATTAAAGGCTATTTGTTGGTCCTCTTGAGGCCAATTGAATGTTCAAGTCTGCAATAAAGCCCTAGAAGTCCTAATGAACTGGTTCGTCTCCCACATCACATACATTTTCAGTATTTTTCCCTTTCTTCAGCTCTTCTGTGAAGCATAGAGATTTTTAACTAGGTGGCTTTTTTAATTAGAAAAGTTATCTACCCATCCAATGTCATATATATGATCCTGCTCATTTGATATATGGCTTATATTCACATCCTATTCCAGGGTGAATAACGAATGGACCATTAATACTGATTATAGTTTAACTAAAATGACTGACTTACCTTTCACAAAAAGATTTGCTTGAGTTCTGAAATCTTTTGCTGTCAGTGATACCTCTCCTGCATCTGTTAATTTGACGTCTCTCAGAACAAGTGTGTGAACTCTCCCTTCAGCACGTGTCACAACCTTAAAAAGTAAATTAAAACCCCTTTGTAATTATCTACAACAAATATTTAAGAAATATTTCATGAAATAGCATTGCTATTTATTATCTGTGGAGTTTGGTTGCCCACTTTTATATGAAATTTTGATACTTTCCTCTTGTATATCCTAGATATAGCTCAATCCTCAATGCTTTGAGGATTTTGAGGCTGACTTGAGATCATGTCTATTTTGAACAGATAAAAAACAAGCAAATCTATGGGGAAAAGTTGGTATTACTGATGGCTACATCTAAAGTAAAAACTTACAGATATAAAGAGGTTTGGCACTGTGCACACACACACTCTTCTGGAAATGCAATTTTGACTTTACATTCCGCCTAAAAGACTAATTTTTGTGCAGAAACTACTTTGTAATCACGGTTTTGTATTGGGCTACTCATACAAAATCATCCCTTTTCTCTAGGAGTGGACCTGGGGGTCCTGGGGGATTCAAGGACACATCCTGCACTGCAGCCATCAAGAGGACTGCTACTTATTCATGCTGTAAATTTTAACACAGCTCTTGAAGAATTCTTTTTATCTATTTTCAGAGAAATATGTGACTAGGTGGTAGATGTTGGTTTAGAAAAATAAAGGTGAAAAGCAAGCTTCTGCTAAAGAAAAAGGATAAAATAATGAGTTGCTTTTGAGAAGGCAGTCCCTTTTGTTTCAGAGTGAAGGAAGGAAGAAAGAGGCTGTCCTTCCTCCCCAATGGTCACTGTGTCCCTGAAAACTCTCTCTAGTGAGTATTCATCTGAAAGAGACTGAGCTGAAGCCAAATATATATTTGACAAAGATAAACAGCAAAGATAAACAAAGAAGTCACTTCAATCAGTAAAAGTTATATCTGTGCAGCTGAAAAGGTTTGAATTAGCAACAGCTAAAATGAAACACTTCTACAATTAGATTGATTCTTGAAGAGAGTTGTAAATATGTTTCAAGAGTCTATTTTAAATGGGTAGAAAGTGATACATTAAGTATATATATGGTTTACTCTCAATTTCTTCTTGATAAAATTTCAAGTGAAGTCAAATGACAGTTTTGACTGTATATGTAAACTGAATGAAAATCTCAATTTTTTTTTCATGTAATGATAGCACAGAAAGATAGACCAAAATAATGTTCTATTATACAGAATATGGAACATAAAATATTTTTCTTCCTAGGTAGTAATAACTATCAGTCCTCTGCGCTGATCAATAGTTTTTCACATTTTCATTCTGAAACTCAGAAATAATTACCTTGATTTATTTCATTCCTCATCTGTTGACTTTCAACTTTGTTTATCTGTCCTTAAATATTCTAATAGGGTCCCCATCACCATGATCTGTTTTTTTCCCCCTATTTTTATATTCTATTTCTTTTATGACATAGTTTTTATTTATGCAAATTTGGTGAAGCTTAGAAAGATCTATCAAAACCTGAAAATAATATGTTAAAATTTGTATTTAAAAGGACAAAAATCTACACCAAAGCATTATTAGCAGCATTATTACAAGTTCTGAAACTTTGCTAGGTCATGTAATGCCTTGAAACTTTTCTTTCTGTGAGGTTTCCAACTTCTATTTTCATTTGCTTTATTTTCTTTACGCCTAGTATGTAAAAAAGAAGTCTTAAACCCAGTAATAATCCTTTACATTTCTTAATGTATTTATTTATGTTTCTTTATTTATTGCCCCTACCATTAACTTTAAATATGAAATTGATTGCATTTCAGGCTGCTCAGATCTCAGAGTTAAGAGCCAGCACTTGATGAAGGGTTAAAAATAGCTAGTGAGAAGTGCTTGACAAGCAAATCTGCCCAGAGAGTTATCTGGAGAGCCAGAACAAATGCCTGAAATGGAATTTGAATCCTCTTAATCCCCTTATATGCAGAATTGGACTGCAACTCAGCATTCAGGAGGAAAAAAAAGCTTTTCCTGATAGCACCTTTCAAAATCCTCTCACTGTAATCACAAGTAACCTGAGCAAAAAGTATTCAGCATCCCTGTGGTTGAGTCTCCAACAGAACCAGACACAAAATCACTGTTGTAATGATTGATATTTTGGAACCTTAGTTTCCCTTGTATAACAAATACTTGTAGTATTCCAGAATACTGGAATTTCTGGGAAAAAAATTGCTATATCTGATTTACTGAGGATTTATCGTTTCGCACAGTAGCACTATAATATTGCTGTGCCTTAGTACTTCTATTGGTAGAAAATAAATAAGAAATAAAGAAGGGGAAGAGACTTAAAAGAGAAGAATAAGGAGAAAACATGAGGAAAAGTAAAGTTTAGTTTCTTTACCTTATCACTGGGCTCCAATTTCTTTCCTTGCAGGAACCACTCTACTGGGATTCCCTCGTAAGAGAGTTCACAATCGAAGGTTGCTGATTCCCCAGCTGTCACTGTTACATCCTTGAGGGGTCTCAGCAAGCCAATTACTCGAGCTTGGTAAGGAGAAGACATAATTTTCAGATTAGTCACTTTTACCCAAGAAAGAGCTGCTGCTGCCCTTATGTACTAATCTCCATGGTGGCTTCCCTCAAGAGAGACAGACATCGCTATGCTGCTCTTTAAATTCCCTAAATAGAAGAGGCCACCCTGGGTTCTTAGGGGAGGGCTGGTCACCTACAATTTCCTATTTGCAGAGCGTGTTTCTTTAAATTGAACAAGGTCAGCAAGAAAGTTGCTGTGCATCTGTCTCCCTGCCAAGCCTTGCATGCCTGTTGCTAGATAAGGCATGTGTTTTCCAAAATAGCGAGGGCTAGGATTGGAGTGGGAAACAAGTGGTCTTCAACCGTGTAGTCTGTCCCTGTCCATCAAGTTCTTAACCCTATCCCCAGATATCACTGTTATCCTATCCTCTCCAGTTAACATGATACTTTCATGCAGTAAAGACTTTGCTTGCAATAGTTTGATTTCATAACAGCATATGATGCCAGACCATGAAGCAGCCTTCAAGGCCATCTCCTGAGTTTTACTTCTCCTATACAAATAAATTATATACAAGGTTAAAAAATATACAAGATGTTCCTAAACTAAAAAATTAAGATGATTTGAGTAACTAATCCTTGAGTTGCTATACTTGAAAGGATCACTGGGGATGCAATACACTAAAGGGATTTTCCATCCGTTCCCAAGAGGCAATGAGTACCATGTTTTCACTTCATTAATTTCAGTTTAAAAGACACTTACGTTTCACTCGAAGGTGAGCACCAGACTTGGCATTTGCTGCTTGGAAATCTACTCCACCAGCTTGATCTAAGCGTACATTGTACAGTGTGAGGAAGTGCTTTTTGCCTTCTTCCTTGATTTCACATTCCTGCAAAAATAGAATTGAAACATTTTTTTTGTACTCCTCACCACAAGAGCCCCTACTCTTCCTCATACCATGCATTTATTTTCATCTTCTCCGTTCACAAACTTAGGCCCACTGCCACATGAAATACTCCTTAAAAACATTCATTCTTGGCCTTTCCTTTAAAAGTCTTTTCCTAATACAGTCTGCTTTCTCTTTGAAAGAAAGAGAAAGAGGCACCACATTTCTCTGCTGATTAACTAGCCAATATATCAATATGTAGATCAGTCAGAGGCCTAGTTCCCCTAAGGGAACTAGAAATTGTTAAGCTTGTGCTGTGACCTTTACTTGAAAAGACCTTTCCTTTTCTTATCCAGAGACTGATTTCATGGAACTTCCGATCTTTGTGCATTATTCACATTTGTACCATTACATCAAGGAATTGCCAAATTATTGCCAGTTGTGATTGTATTGTTTCTTTATTTTCCAGATCCTTTCATCGAGGAATTAAGAATATTTAATTAAACTGTATACAATTTTATATTAATTTTAACTGTCACAGAAATGAAAAAGAGTTTGAAAATATGATCTACATCTATTTAAACCAAACATAACTCAAAAATTGAGGCAAATGCAGGTAACACAGAATTTGTATTTTTAAATGCCATTATGTTTAAGTGAATTATACAAGGTCTTTGCACTTTGGATGCATGATTGTTAGGGACTAGTAATAGAGAATATACTAATTTATGTAAAATAATTTATGGTTTAGCCATTTTATATAACATTTTGGATTAAGTCTGTACTACATTTTAAAAGTTACTTATGAAAAAAACCAGTATTTTTATTACAGTAACCCTTATTGAAAGCATAAAGAGATTGGTTTTAGTTTCTGAAGCCTCCCTTACACACTATCTCCCTGCAAATTGTTGAGACATACATAAAAAACATCCTGAAATATTTGCTTACAGTTGATTCAGTAAGGGGTTCTCCTTTTAGCTTCCAATTCCCATGGACACCTTCCTCGGAGATTTCAATGTCAAAACGGGCAGTCTCTGTCTCGATCACCTCCACACTGTATAATGGTCGTACAATCTCAATATCCCGGTCTGGAGGAAAAAAAAAGTGATTGACTCCCGCAATGCCAAGCAGATCCCACTAGATCTCTACTACAGAGCAGCCCACTAAAATCACCATACCTTCAATATTGAGTTTAGCAGAGGTTTGATCAGTACCACAGTCACAAGTGTACTGTCCAATGTCTTTCTTCAAAGCTTTCTTGAGAATAAGGATTCTCTTTTTACCATCAGCCTTAATAACAACATTCTTTGATGCAGTAATTGGACTGCCATCCTTCATCCACTTCACTGGGGCATCTGCTTTGCTGATTTCACATTGTAAGATTACTTCATCTTTCTCCACGGCAGTGTAATCCTGCAGCTTCCCAGTGAAGTAAGGGTCTCCCTCTGCAAGCAAAAGTTAAGATGTTTCAGTCTGAAGTTTTAGTCTTTCAGAAAAAAACAATTCGTTTCTACCATAAAATACATTTCTTGTTTATGTCCTGCAAGAAGGATTAAATATAGTCCTTATAAATGTTTCACAGGTCTGTTGTAAGAAGGAAAACAATAAATATCTAAACCCCAATTCTTTTTCTTTTGATGTTCTAGGAGTTTCAGAGCACTGTTTAAGTTATCTAATAACTAACTTTGCAAGAGTTGCTTGAAATTTTAAAGTTATTTTAATCATCCTTTGTGAATAGGAAAACAGAGACCGAAAGAAGAAAAAGAAATCGTAAAATTTTCAAAATCACATCTAGATTTAGACCAACCCCAAGAATTTCTGATTGTCATTTTTTATGAATAAGACTCTTCTGACAATATACATCAGGTAAATTCTTTTGGGTATTCTTACCAAGAACAGTGAGTTTAGCTTCTGAGGATTTGCCCATAGCTTCTACTTTAATCTGAGAAGTGTCATCAATAGTAAGATCTTTAATTGTGAGTGTATGGAATTTGCCATCATCTGTCATTGAAACCACTTTGCTGGTATGTAGTCGTTGGTCATTCTTGAACCAGGCAACAGAGATATTTTCATGAGAGAGTTCCACAGTGAACTCTGCAGTTTCTCGTTCCTTTTTGGTTACATCCTTAAGAGGAGTAATGAATTTCAGGCGGATACCTATAACAAAGTAACATTTCATTAACAATAACATTATCAATAAAAACTATTCAAGTACTATGATGCAAAACTTTCCTTGGAAGGCAAAGTCTAACAAACCTTCAATAATTAGCTTGGCACTTGTTCTTTTATCCTCAGCTTCAAATGTATATTTAACTTCATCCTCAAAGGCAACAGATTTAATAATCAGAGCATGCTTTGTTCCGTCTGAAACAATTTCAAATCTTTCATCAGGAGTGATCTCTTCTGTTCCTTTCAACCAGCGGAAAGTCTTGGGTTCTCTGGATACCTCACATTCAAACTTAGCTTCATCCTTCTCAAAGACCTTCACATCACTTAGTGGAGTGATAAAGATGAGAGGTAATTCTGAAATCAAAGAAGAGATCTTTCAGATCAGTGATAGGTTCATATAGAACTTTCTGATGTTAGATTTGTTCTAATGCCCTGAAACACATGTGGAAATATTGGTCAAATGCAGACTGTACCTTTCACTTTCAGATTAGCAGCACTTTTAGCATTAGCAGCTTGGAAAGACACTTCTCCAGTCATATCAAGGTTGCAGTTATGAAGGACAAGAATATGCTTCTTCCCATCTTCAATGATTTCACAGTCCTGGTGATAAAGAAACACACCCCCCACCCCAAATATGAATATTCTAAGAAACCACCAAAAAAAATTATTATTAAATATGTTTTTCTGCTGTAAATTATGGTCTGAAAATAAAGAAGTAAGCTTACAGGAGAAGGTGTTAGGGTTTCTCCCTTTAGCTTCCATACAGGATGGACATCAGGCTCAGAAATCTCAATTTCAAAGCGTGCTGTTTCACCAACAAATACCTCCACTCCATACAGTGGACGTTCCACTTTAATTATGCGAGCTAAAATAAAAAAAAAAATCAAAAGTTCACATCTGTTTACTCACAAACTCCATGCCATAAACATGTAATATTGGAAAGGATCTCAACTCTCTCCCTATTCCTTCTTTTGGGCATTCAAATGCTATGACCAATAAGTGTTTATCTAACCTCTTTTTAAAAAGCTGCAAGTTTTGGCAGTCTACAGCATCCTTCTATAATATGTCTGAAAATTTAGTTATTTTTAGTAAGAATATTTTTCCTCATAACTAACCCAGATATCTGTTACAGTGAACTAAACTAACTGCTCTTTTCCTTACTGTAAATTGACATAGAGACTAATATATCATCACTGTCTTTACAAAAGTCATTTATATATCCTCAGATATATTGTCTCTAGTAAATACTTTTAATAATTGTAAATCTAGATATTTCAGCTATTCAGTGTGACAGCATTCTTTCTATGGGTACATTTTTGGTCTTGTACTCTAGAGAGTGTCTGTCTGTCTACAGCATTTTACAAAGGTTTCAGTACTTTCCTTAGCTAAGACATGATAACTTACACTCAATGCGGATATTAGCACTTGTCTTGTCGGTTCCACAGTCACACTCGTAAACACCCTTATCACTCTCTGCAGCTTTCTTGATCTTCAGGATACGGCGCAAGCCATCCGTTTTTATGGAAATTCTGTTGGAAGCTACTAGTTCTTCACCATCTTTATACCATTTTACTGGCACATCTTTGCTAAGTTCACACTCCAGAGTAATATCATCTTTCTCTACAGCACTGTAGTCTTGTAACTTCACAGTGAAATATGGATCGGCCTCTACAAAAGGCATAGTGGATACATAAAGGTAAATTAGTAAAATGAATTTACTAAAACATCAATATTTTGTCCCTTTCTACTTATAAAAATTGTTAATACATATCATATAACATATTTTAAATTATTTATGTATTACCTAAGACTTTGAGGTTGGCTTGTGTGTTCATGTCCTTGACTACGGCCTTTATTTCAGAGATATCATCAAGTGTTACTTCTCTCATTTCTAATTTATGAACTTTGCCTTCTGAAGTAATAAAAACTGTTCTGCTTGTATGAAGTCTCTTGTCATTTTTGTACCATTTCACTGGCATATCTTCATGAGAAAGCTCAAATTGAAAGTGAGCTGTTTCCCCTTCTTTCACTGTTTGATCCTGTAGAGGTGATATGAACTTCAGTCTCACACCTGTAATGTAGACACATAAATACCATCAGAAAAAAGACTAATGTAGTTCTAAAAGATATATTCTTTATCAATTTTTTTATTCTTTTGTTCATAAGAAAATACTTGCCTTCCACAAACAGTCTTGCTGTGCTCTTCTTGCCATCAACTTCAGCAGTGTACTCTCCCTCATCATCAAACTGTGAATCATTGATAACAAGAATATGCTTCTTTCCATCTGCAATGATGTCAAATTTTTCTCCAATCTTGAGTATATCAGTGCCCTTAGACCATATAACATTGGCTTCTCTGGTAAGGACACACTCAAACCTTGCTTGGCGCTTCTCAGGAACAGTAACATCTTTCAGGGGCACAGCAAAGTCCAATTCAATTTCTAGAAGTAAAACATAACACGTCATTTGTAACGTGCTCCACGTGAACTCTGTTTAAGCTGGTATCATACTCCATGGTGCATCCATACCTTTTACTGTCAGGATAGCTGTAGTAACAGCATTAAGTGCCTGATAAAGGACTTCACCAGCTTGCTCTAACTTGACTTTGTGTAAGGTTAGGAAGCGTTTTCCTCCTTCAGCTTTGATTTCACATGTCTGGAGAGATGACAGAGTTTGGTAAATACAATGCCAATGCCTTACTGCTAGGTTTTTTAATAAAAGATTTTATAAACATTTTATATGCAGTAAAGAGTCAGGGAGAAAGACCGAAATTGCTTTTAAAGTTAACACTTTCACTCAGTAAGTTAAAAATGGAGTAAATTTATTCAGTGTTCCACACTTCTTTAGAATGCCAGAATAGTTCCTACAATGTATGTAGGATATTTCTATTATTGTCTGAATTACATGCTGAAATCCCTTAAGAAAATGAAGGTTTTCAAAACTTAGCTTTTATGGCATATTATCCTTACTTAGAGAACAAGTGTTTTTTCATCAACATAAAGTTTAGCCTTTCTATGTTCTGGACTGAGTAGCAATGACAGATCTTGTCATAAAGACTCAAGGAACCTGCTCACAGAGTTTAATATAAATTAATTGTGTTGTAAAATTCAAGGATGCTTACAGGTGAAGGTCTCAGAATTTCTCCTTTCAGCTTCCATTCACCAGGAATATCATCCTCAGATATTTCTGTATCAAAGTTTGCTGTTTCTTTCTCATAAACTGTAACATCCTCTAATGGCTTCAGAAGTTCAACTTCACGTTCTAGAATGCACAAATGAACACATATATAATTAGGTCAAGTTTTGATACAGCTTTATAGTAATTCAGGTTACCTCTTTTTTTTATTTAGATGTTTTTCAACATCGGTCTATGAGCTGATTAAATAAAATTAAAAAAAAAAAAGAAAGATTTCTTACCACCAAGGGTCAGTTTAGCTGGGTATCTGCGACCTTCAACTTCCACTGAATATTCTCCAACATCAGCAGGGCCAGCATTCTTGATTTTCAGGAAAATTTTATTTCCTTCTTTCAAGATTTCTGTCTTGTCAGTGGGTTCAGCAGGAATTTCCTCATCTCCTTTAAACCATTTAATGTTTGGTGTATCCTTGACAATGTCACAGCTGAAAGTAGCTGTTCCTTTTGGTTTAACATGCTGGTCTCTTATGGGTTTTACTAACCAGTCCCTTATAATCTCTGCATGACAAAAAGTTACAGAAGAATACAGTTTAGTAGACTTTTACTAAAAATAGATGTGTCATAAAAAGAAGAAATAGAACTAACAGATTTTGTATTACAACAAGCTTTCAATAGCTGCAAAAATCTTATCTGTCCATTTATATTGTAACACTAGGAGAAAAAACTTTCCTGATTTTAAAATAGCCCAAATATCCTAGAGAGAAAAGAGAACATGATTTTGATTGCTTACCTACTACCTTAACACAAGATGAGCATGACAGCTCAGAGTCTTCCACAGTAACAGTGTAAGTGCCAGCATCAGCATCATCTGAATCAGTGACCGTGAGAGAATGTGACAAACCAATAACACCCAGTGCAAATTTCCCAGGTTTGGCTTTGATGATTCTACCATCCTTTCTCCAGACCACATTTCTTTCTTTGTTAAGCTCACACGTCAAGTACAGTGGCTGGCCTTTAATGACAGTAGTTTCTTCTTCAAGTGTTTTCACAAACCGCACTGGGAGCTCTGTGGGAAACACAAAATTTTGAATTGTTCAATTATATACAGAACATGTGATGCAAAAATACCTTAAATAATAATATGTGTAGTGATTGAGAGAAACAAAAGGATGCATCTACCAACTACTGTAAAATTACAAAGACCAGTTCTTCTAGCTTGAGGAATAGCTAGCCTAAATTATTGATAAATTTGAAACAGGGAATACCTTCAACAATGAGTTTGGCTGTAGAGGTCTTCTCTTTGTTTCCCAGTCGTAATACACAAGTATATTCACCAGCATCAGACAGCTGGACATCAATAATATGCAGCTTCCTATCTTTGCCATCAGCAATAAACTTGTGTTTTGGGCTCTCTCGGATGTTACTTCCATCTTTCATCCAGCTGGTAATTGCAGTGGATGGTGAAATAAGGACTTCAAAGATTGCAGAAGACCCAACAGACTCAGCTTCTTTTAGCACTATATCTTTCATCTCCTTGACAAACTTCAGTGGTACAGCCTTAAGTTGGTAAGTGAATGGAGGCTCTTCAGGAGGTTTTTCACCACCACTGCCTGGTCTGAGTTTCCTTCTTTCTGCATCTGCTGGTGAAGGTGTCTTCTTGGCTGTAATTCAGATTCAGAAATGAATAAACTAATCCTGATTCATTGCTTTTTGTTATAGGTTGGGTTGATTTTGGTTGGGGTAGATTTAATAGCCTTCACAGAAGCTAGTATGGGGCCATGTTTTGGATTTGTGTTGAAAGCAGTGTTGATAATACAGAGATGTTTTTGTTATTGCTGAACAGCACTTGTGCAGAGTCAAGGTCTTTTCTGTTTCTCATACTGCTCCACCAGTGAGTAGGCTGGGAGTGCATAAGAAGTTGGGATGAGACACAGCCAGAAAAGCTGATCCCAGTTGACCAAAGTGATATCCCATACGATATGGTGTCATGCTCAGTATATAAAGCTGAGGGGAAGAAGGAGGAAGGGGGGAGATTCAGAGTTATGACATTTGCCCTTCAAGTGATGGAGCCCTGCTGTCCTGAATATGGGTCAACAGCTGTCTGCCCATGAGAAGTGCTGAATGAATTCCTTGTTTTGCTTTGTTTGTGTGTGCAGCTTTTGCTTTCCCTGTTAAACTGTCTTTATCCCAACCTGTGAGTTTTCTCACTTTTACCCTTCTGATTCTCTCCCCCATCCCACTATGAGGGAATGAGTGAGTGGTTGTGTGGGGCTTGGTTGCCAGCTGGGGTTAAGCCATGACAGTCCTTTTCAGTGCCCAGCGTGGGGCTTGAAGGGTTGGAGATAACAGGTTTGATTGGAATGTGTTAGATTGAATTTAAATCTGTTAGTGCTGTTTAGCTATTAATCGACAGGCTCCTGTGCTTGCCATGGAGTTTGCTTGCCCAACTGTATTGTTAGAGTCTAATGCTTCCTGTTGCTGATTTTTGCTCTTGTTGCTGGCTGTAGTGCTGCAGTGCTGACCATGTCACTCTGCTGTGCCTGGGAATGACTTGGTAACAGCCATTGGGATGTGCCTGGGCTGGGCAATGGCCTGGTCGTCACTGCTGTTTGTGTGCGCTGCTGTACTGGACAGGCTGGAGTTCCACTGTGAACTCAAGGCAAAGGGATTGTGACCTGTGGATGAGTCCACAGTGGAGCAAATATCCACCTGCAGCCTGTGAAGGACCCCATGCTGGAGCAGGTGGATGCCCATAGACAGCTGTGACCCCAAGAGAACCTGACACTGGAGCAGGACTGGTGACCCTCGGGGGGCCTCATGCTGGAGTAGCCTGTTCCTGAAGGACTGCACCCTGTGGAAGGGACCCATGCTGGAGCAGTTTATGAAGAGCTGCAGCCTGTGGAAAATACTCACATTGGAGAAATCAGTGGAGCACTGTCTCCCATGGAAGGGGCCCCACACTGAAGCAGGGAAAGAGAGGTTCCCCTGCAGCCCATGGTGTAGACCATGGTGAGGCAGGCTGTCCCCCTGCAGCTCATGGGCTCTAATGGTGGAGACTAATTACTATAGTAAGAATCCTATGTTGCTAGCTGGACTAGGAGCAATGGGAGGAGTTCATTGTCATGCTAAATCCTATAACCTGGCCCAAAAGGAGCAGGGGTGAAGATTTTAATGGATATATCTTTAAATCATTGTAACCCATTATTTAAGCTGTATGTTATAGGAATTACTATAACGGGAACCACGCAAACCAAAGGAGGAGAAGCCTTACAAGTAGAAGTGCAAGTGCAACAGTGACCCAATTTGAGTTGGCTTTGGTGCCAAGTAACTCCATGTAATACACCAACTCTTCTGTCCTGAGTGACCACCAGAACAGACGGAGCCCAACATCATGGACAAAATTAATTCAGTGGATATTTTGTGGACATGAGTGGATATTTTATGGACATTTTACTGTGCTAGTTCATCAACTAAGGGAATGATATGGGTGCATCATACCAACGGATGGGAAGGGTTGTGATGGTTAATGAGGTTGTACTGAATAGTGTGGGACCTGAGCATGATGTAAAAGGTATAGAATAAGGGGTGGATAATGTGCTGCTTTGGGCTGGGGGAGAGTTGATTTTATCCATAGTAGCTTGTATGGGGCTGTATTTTGAACTTGTGCTGAAAACAGTGTGAAAGAGCGGCTGTGTGGTACTTGGTTGCCAGCTGGGGTAAAACCATGACAAGGTTTGTAGTATCCTACCTTTGACTGGACTGATACCCTTCGGAGCTTCTTCCTTTGGTGGCTTGGCCTCTGAAGTAGAACAACAGTATTATTAGGAATGTAGTTAAATAAATCTAAGACAAGCATTTATTCTACATATCAGAGTTTTAATTCCTTTAGTTACCCTACATGTACAAAGAGAAGAAGATAAAACATATGCATATATGTTTATATATGAACTTATACTGTCTATATCTCAATGGTAAGTTCAATATCTTGAAGCATGGGAAACAGTAGGGATTAACAGACAGCTTAGAACCTCCTAGTTTCTCTATGTATTGTCCTGCCCCTTCTTTTGTAAAATTTTGCCATTCCTTGATACTAGATTTAAGATTAGGCCCTTGATCAATACCCACCTGTCAGCCCAAATAGTTTCAGTACCTATTAAAATTATATGTTGGCATTTTTTTTTAGAAAAAGCACACACTTTTACTAATGAAGACAACAGAAGTACAAGTTGTATAAATTAAGTACATGTCTCAGGACAATGCAGTACTTTCACAACTGAGGGATGTTCTGTCAGTAACCTAATTTGTGATGAATCATCTCAGACTTTTGAAAATATTACCCATGCTGTGTTGCTTCTCACTATTTTTTTGTGAAAGGAAATATAAAAGATACTTTTAATGGGAGAATGATATGAATGAAATGCAGGACAGATTTTAGTGTAGTGGATGGAAAAATGAATACTAGAAAAAATGACTGAGTTTTTCTGAGAAGATAATGGCAGACAAAATGATTTACACAGTCTTATAAAAGTGTAAGACTAAGACAATGAACAGTAATCACACAGATGTATGTACAGACAGGTAAGACAAACATGTCAAGAGTGGCTGAATGCCAGTACAGCCAGCTGACAGACTATGATGGAATTGTGAATGGTGTTACTAAAACATCGCAATGGCAAGTGATATTCTCCTGAAGCAAACAGTACAAGCACTTCGTGGAAGAATTCAGCACCAATCTTCCTCACCTCTCTTTGCATGAGACTTTGCAGGAACATCCAAAACTTCACATGATTGTCCAGGTGCATCCAAATTCTTGTTTTCACTTGAAAGTCTAGTGGTCTGCTCAATCAGATGAGCAGGTTCTGATATCTGGTATTCTTTCTCTCCTGCTTTCTTGGGAGTTATTATCTTACCTATCCTTGAGGAGTAAGTAACTTTTCCATTTGCATGTATTTCTTTGCTTGATGGTAATTTGTCTGAAAGCTTTCCCTTCTCTTTTGTCATGGTACCAGTTGTGCTTTTCCCAATGTCATGTTTAGTTGATGTTTTTTCATCTGCTATACCTTCTGCAGATTTCATTTCTTCAGTTTTATCTTTTCTGCTTTTGTGAACTAGAGCCTCTTTATGTTCATCCTGAACAGTATGAACTTCTTGAAATTGTTCTTCATCTTGACTTCCTGGTGGCTGAATAGCAACTTTATCTTTTGACTCGGATCTGTCAACTACTTCATCTTTGACTACCTTTTCATTTTCCTCTGTGGAAGCTTCACTTTTGATCCCTTCTGCTGTAAACAGTGTATCAAATTCTTTTTCCACAGGTACCTTTTCAGGGACATTTGATTTTCTAATTTTGTCTTCTTTTGTGTGACTGCTGAAGATACTTTTCTCCTCCTTCTCTGGTATAATCATTTTGCCTGTTTTTTTATCACTTAGCAGTGCTTTCTCAGTCAACAATTGTCCTGAACCCTCCTCATAATGAACTTCCTCTTTCTCTGTAGAATATTTTTCTCTTACTTTCCTTTCTACTACTTCTGGTTTAAGAATAGATGGTTTAAAGACAAGGTGAGGTTTTTCTCTGGAAAACTCCTCATCCTCAATGGGTTGTTCTAGGTCAACATCTTTTCTCAATGCTGGTTCAGCCTTCTCAGATAGGCCTAAGGAATGTAGTTCTGGTGATGTAAAGTCCAGTTTCTTACCTTTCTCATAATCTTGAATATCTTCCATTTTCTTTGCTTCTTTGCTAAAAATCTTATCCATAGAAATTTCAGCTACTGTGCTACCAGATTCATTAATCCATTGAGTTTTACTTGGTATGTCATGCTCCTTCATGGATTCTCCACGAGGAACTTCAGATTTCTCTAGAGTAAAACCTCCTCCCTCATTTTCATTTGTAAGCAGAGGAGTTTCAGCTATTGCTGCCTCTATGATATCCTGTACAAAAAAAGTTTTATCCTTAATGTGAAATTCTTCAGGTTGCAAACTTATTTTTGATTTTTTCTCTTTTCCTAGAAGTCTTTTCTGGTCCCTGGGCTGAGATGGCTTTTTGGGTTTAGGTACGTAAGTTGACTCAATTTCTTCTTTTCCATGCTCAAGAATCTTTCCTTCATGAAGAACACTAGACTTGTCAGAGTCTTTCTCTATGGCACCTTCCCTATGAACAAGTAATTTAATTTCATCCTCTTTTTCTTCTCCAGAATCTCTTTCCACACGTTCAGATGTTATAGAAATCAATTTCAGTTCCTCATCAGGTAGTGGTAGTTCATCCTTTGTACAAGTAATGTGATCTCTTTTGACCTCTAATTTCTCACCTGTAAGAGTAGTCTTTCTTGAAACTACAGGTGCTATTTCTGCTTCCTCTTCTTCAGAAGCCAGAACGAAATATTTAAGAGCAACTTTCTCCTTCTCATCTCTCTCTGACTTCAGTATTCCATCAGCTGTTTCCAGTGAGATTTTGTACTCAAGAGGCTCTATTGTCTGAACTGTTTCCTTAGGACTTACTTTCTCTTTTACATGCAAACGTTTTTCAACCGAAATCTTCTTTAACACAATTGACTCAGGCTTTTCTTCTTCCACTGGGGGCATTTTACCTCTGTGCTTTAATACAGATGGTGCATCAGGCTTTTCTGAAGCTACAAAGGTTTCACAGGTAATTTAGAGAGTTAAAATCCATAAGAATAAGGATCAAGAACAACACTTTAAGATTTTAAGACAAATTTTCCAGATATACCTGAAATAAAATTAACACAGAACATTTTTTCTCCACAGAACAGAAAATTTACAACACAGTCACAAAAGAAAAGAAAGATAAGAATGGCACACATGAACAGAAGACCTGTTAGTATTGTCTCACCACTATTAGTATTGTCTCATTAGATCACCAATTTAAATCCAATCCAGGTTAAAAGTAGCAGAAAATGACAGCTATCTGGCCACTGATGTAAAATGGGTTAATTATGCCACTGGAGGCCTGGCTACATCATCAGATCAGTGGCCAAGAGACATTCATGACTAGGCTTCTCAACTGCCCAAGATCTGTAACATGAGGCCCTTTGAACGGTGGGCAAGCAGAATGTACATCAGTTCTGCTGGTGGAGCACAGGCTCAGAGTATTTCAGAGGAACCAGAATCTTCACAGTTTTTTTTCCATAGTAGGTTATGATCCGGGTAAGCCACTTTTCCTCAGGACTTCAATGACAAGTTAAAATCAGAAAACTAAACAGCACAATGATTGTTTAGAAACGTGTAACTTCCCTTTTTCTACAGAGAAAATACAAGATGCAATTCAAAGACAGACATCAGGACATAAACAACATGAAGGAATCAACAGAATACACAAATTTCATTGTAGGACAACAAATGAAGACAGACATATCACCATCCAGAAAAAAAAGAACACAAATTTGTCTCCATAGTATATCAGAGACACTTTTAGATTTGGTGACAGTACCTAGAGTAATAAGATCCTTGAATAGGGCCTCAAATCTTCCTGTAACAAATGAGTTATTGTATAGCTCTTCTTTTTTTTTTATCCTGAAGGTATTTAGGTATCTCAGAGAGAAAAACCTTATAAATAGCATAGAATAAACATAAATACCTGCTTTCTTTCCAACAACTGGGGCTGTCACTGGAGCAGTAACAGCAGGTGCTGGTTCTGCAGCCGGTTTTGGAGATTTTAGAGCTGTAGGGAAGAAAAAAGAATTCTAGTTTTAATACATTATTTTGTTTTAATTTGATATTCTTTAAAATGTTTTGTAGATGGTATGAAAGTTCCACTCTTATTAATATCAAAGGCATTTGTTTAATGCATGGATACTTCTAGGATTCAGCAGCACAGGGTGCTGAGCCATCTTGTGTAGACAGTGCTTTTGCCAAAAAGAGTTGGACCAGATTACCCTTGATGTCCCTTCCAACCTGGTATTCTATGATTCTATGAATGTCCTTTCAGCCATAAATCTCTGAATGGAAAATGTTTCACCAATATTCATGACTAAAGAATTCTTACCTACTGCAGGTTTAGGTTCAGGCTCAGGAGGTGGCACAATTGCTTGCTTAGTTTCTGTCATTTCAAACACAGAAATTACAAGTGGGTTAATTTACATGTTTTGTAATCACATTGAACATTGAAAGTTAGAAACAACAGAGAGAGATAAATGAAGACAGAATTTATTGGTTTATATTTTATTCGTCCGAAAAGCAAGAAATTAACTTGAGATGAACTCTTGGAATGCAAGATACAACGGAAAAAAAGATGAATTTTTCAAGCGCTGAAGAATTAAAGACGACAAGAAACCCAGAAGAATTTAAAATGGTTAATCTTGACACAGTAGTTATGGGTAGACTGGATGACAGTAATGATTATGTTAATATAGCATAATATTCAGCACTGAATATAATTTAGTTGTTACCATAAGGAAAAAGAGCACCACACGTCTGTACCTTTTGGTGGTTCAGGCACATGTTTCTCCTCTTTTTTTATGGCAGGTATCTCAGTTTTCTTCCTAGGAACTTCTGGAACTTCAAAATAATATTTTAATTTTTTAAGATATAATGAATCATCTTGAATCCCCAAATACAGTAACCTTCAATGCATTTAAAACTTTCATTGTTTTCACACATAACAGTTGCAGATGCTCATAAGGTTTAGGAATATGTATTTCTTAGAGTGAGATTTGAATAAATTTGAAACAATAAATGGGGAAATGGACAAATATTTGCAAAATGTTATATAAAAGAATGTTTGGATTACGTTTCACTGTAGTTATACTTTTATGCGTATTATAAAATATTTGTAAAGTTCTTTTCTGTACACAATAAAGATTGAGAAACAATCCCAAAATGTAGAATTCTGACCCAAATGTGAATGTCAAATTTGGTTGTGCTTTCAGCTAAGCTTTGACTTACATAATTAGGTCAATGCAAGCCATCTTTTAAAATCTCACTTTCATTCCTGAATTTAAGAGAATACCACTTAATAGTGGGATTTTATTTTTTTCTTTAAATTATAATTTACCAAATAGATTTGAATGCAATCTAGTACCTTCAGGTTTCTTAATTTTTTCTACTGGGGTAGGTACTGGTTTAACTTCTGGTTTAGGCTCTTTTTCTGGTTTAGGTTCTTCCTCTTCAGGTTTCTTTTTAAGAACTTCAAAAGAAAAGGAATTTCAGTTTTTAAAGCACAGGCAAACAAAGAATAAGACAGTGAACAAGAAAAGATTAAATATATATTATCAATCATAAAGAAACAGGAAAGTAAAATATATAGTTCAATACAAATGGAAGATTTTTGTAACTATTCAAGATACTACTCTGAAAGTCTTTTAAAATACAAATCAATTAGGGCAAAAAGAAGGTTTTATTAAGAGTAGTCCATCTGAGAGGAAAGATGTCAATGTTAACTGTCTATAATGGAATAAAATTTCTTATAATATCATACATTTATTCACATATTTAAACGATGACTTACTATATGTAATTATGAATTAATAACTGCAGTTAAAGATGATTTTTAGGGAAAAATGTAGGAATATTATTAAACTTCTATTGACTTCAGAGAGAGAACAAGACTAAATCTTCACATATTATATTTGGAGAGCTCAAATTTATATAATATCTATTTTTCATTTTATTTATTTCACTTATTTTTGTCCTCTCAAACCTCCATCTTGGATATCTAATAGATTGAAATGTCTAATAGATTGAAATAACTGATGACTGAGGGATCTGAAAAGTGCAATATCTATATTTTAATATGTTCTCTGAAATTTGAAGGTTGGCTGCAAGGTATATAGGCACAAATCATCTGTCTGTGGTATTTCAGAGAGAATTGGAATTAGTGTTTATTTTTCTAAGCAATAGTTGAGCACAAAGGGACTCAGAATGTCCCAGACTTTGCAGGAAAGTGGACTGATGTCCAATAGTACCACAGGATTTTGTGATCTGTGCACTACTTCTAAGAAAACCATAAAGTAGAGTACAGAGGCTACATATGTAACTTTAATAACATTTACACTGTCACTGACAGAGGTCCAGAAGCTGAAGACAGTGGAAAACTCTCAGCTCTAGTGTAAAGAGAGTTATAGGGAACTAGATTTTCAGTGTTCTGCTCTGTTTTCATTACAGACCCTTTGGATCAGAGAGACTTTCTGGCTATCCTCACTTCATCCCTGCAACTACAAAAGCTGTTTCCAAGAAAAAGCTATGAGATAGTATTTGATTATGTAATTTTACATACCACACACATAAAACAATTTTACTTAGGGGAACATGCTGAACAAGGTTAATATGCCGGGGTTTTTACAACAGAGCCAAGTTACTATACCTCTTTTCAAAACAACTTCTTCTTTTGGTGGAGGAGTAACCTCAGGAATTACTTTGCGAGGTTTCTTTACAAGTCCAGGCACTTAAAAGAATATTATTCCAGATTTTATTATAGATTCATAACAGTCATAAGAGTTAACCAACAACTAGCCCGTCCAAACATACAAATCAAATGCTGGTTCACTACTGAATATTAAAAACAAAGGTAAAACTGCTGATATTGAAGTCTATAATATACTTTCTATATTATTTGCTTACAGTTGTCACCTAAGCTTATACATAAGAGAAAATTTTCATACAAATCAACAGAAGAGAAGCATGGTTTGAGAAAACTATAAAGGTTATGTATTCAAGAAGAGTTATAGTAGCATTTTTATTTCCTTTTCCTCTTCCATTACAGACTTATGTTACATATCTATTCATCTGAGCTGACTGTCTGTGATATTCATACGGATCCAGTGTAATTTCTAAATTTGGAACAGCATTAAGAAGAGATGTTCACTGCTTAGCTGCTTAGTTGATCTTGAACTCCAGTACATACGAATAATATAAAGGAGCACTTGTAAAGTGGCTTGCTCAATACACTATTCCTTCCCATCTCTGGTAAGTGTCCTCTCACAAAAACAAGCTACATTTCAGAAAAATAATAAACTAGATATGTTGGAACAATGCTCTACATATTTAAACAGCATTTTATATTTTATTTTTCCCTAAGCAGAAAACCAAAGTGAGCGTCTACACAAGTTATAAAACCCATAAAAACTCTCTCACTTTTCTATGATTCTGTCTATTGCAACTCAAGGATTGCATGACATGAGATTAAACTGGACATAAATAGAACACAAACATATACACCCAAGACAGGGGTGCACTGTTGAGCATAATTTAACATAGACAGCTTTTTGATATATCTGAGTCAATTAAAGAAGAAGATACTAAGAACTACAACTCTGGGCCCATGAGAGGCTTATTTTAAGTAAGATCCTTATATTAGCTAGGTACCTTTAGCAGGTGGGGGTTCCAATTTCGGAGGCTCACCAGGTTTTGCAGTCACAGCTTTCTTCCTTGATTCAGGAGCTTTAAAGAAAATTATGTGAATTTTACAACACATATAATTAGACTAAAAACAAAAAGGAGCCTTCTAAAAAATCCAAACAACTGATTAATACTATTGATGTAATAGAAGGACAAAAGCTGCAAAGCAAAGATTCTTGCTGATTAACTGTTTAGAAAAAGTCAGATGGTCTGTAGGAAGCACAGTTGATTTGAAACCCAGGTTCATATATAGTAACACCAGCAAATTATTGCTGGGGATTCTTTTCATTTGCAAGAACACGTTAAAGAGAGAAGAATTACGTTAAGGATAGAAGGAAGTGTTAACTTGGTTAAGATTGTTTTAATGAATTGGTTTTTTCCTGTTGAAAAGAATCCATGTAAACTGACTTGGCATAACACATAAAATATAATGAGAGACTGAGCATTAGTAAGGTGCACCATTAAAGTGATAGTAAATTAGAAAAGAAATAAAAAAGACACAAAATGATAACTTTAAAAGCACTCTTTTCAAGATACATCAGTATAGTTTTAAAAGATTATATGTTTGAGTTTCCACTGTTATTTGTGGCTTCAGATGATTATACCTTTAAGTAGATCTTTTGCCAGTTTAATATCTTCTGTTGGTGGAGCAGGTGGTGGTGGTTTTCGCTTTTCAGGGACCTTCTTTTCAGGTGGCAGCACTTTAAATAACATTAGGTAGATTTAGAACAAATATACTGTGATGGTGGTTATGTGAAGAGTAAAATACAAACCTAAAGACCACCATTTTCCATTTCCAGTGAAACCAGTGAAAAAATATCATTGAATTAAATGGGAGCATGAAAGAGCTTTAGGTTATTGCTTCGTAGCATGCACACAATAGAAATATCCAAGCTCACTTAAAAAAGCATGTCAATAACATGAGAACAAAGATGAACACCAAATGATGAGAAGACTCGTGTGGACAAGAAACAAAATGAAAGCATTTAAAATAATCTTTAAGTTGTACTTAGAATTAAATGATCAGAAATAATTTGCAAAACATATCGACAAAGGAAAAATTACACAAAGACCTACAACATACAGACAGAAGAATGACAGAATGACAGAATGACAGAATGAAGAATGCCCAGTAATGAAAGAAAGGTATCTGGCAGACTCTAGGGAATTACTTTGTATACCTTCAACTGGTAAAGCTTCTTCGACTTCTACAACTGGAATTTCTTCTGCTTCTTCAGGCTCAGTCTCCTTTATGATTTCATATTCTTTAAATAATATTGACAACTGGTGTAAGTTTTCAATTATAAGATGGTTTCACATGAACAATTATATTGATATAACTACAAAGAAAGCTACTCCAAAAGACACAGACAAATACACATTAGGAAAACTAATCACTCAGTGTCTGTTACCTTTGTGGTAAATGCAAGATTTTGAGAAACTACTCTCTTTCTAAGAATGAATCTGGGTTACGTGAAGAATAGTATTTTTTATGTATATAATATAAACTAAACATTAAATTCGTGGATGAGATGTAATAGGAAAGAATAAAATCTTCAATGCTCTATAATAATTTCAGATTACAAATATGAGGGTTTGAGAGACTCTAATTTAGTGGGAATTTACTACTATTTTAATAAAAGGCGTAGTTTTTTAGGTATATCGTGTGCAGGAGCACATATTATAATTCCAAAAATGAAAATAGTAGATACAAGAAATATTGACTGCTATTATCTAAAATAGGAAATGAACAATTCACAAACATCACAATGGGAAAAAAGGAAAACATCTATTTTAAAGCTTATATTTAGAAGAAGAGGACAAAGGATTGTCCTTATAGTAATAACTATGATGGCACAAACCTTCACTTGGTAGTGATTCAGGTATTTTGGGAATATCAACAGGTACTTTCTCCTCTGAGACAGGTTTCTTGGTTACCTCAGACACTTAAAAAAAATATTGTTTCTTTTATTTATGTGTATATAAATGTACATATGAAACACACAAAAAACAAAGACACTTAGCACACAGTAACAGTGGCCATAGTCATGAAAGACTGTGCTCCAGTCTCTCTCAAGGTAGTCTAAAAACAATTATCACATTTTATAGACTCAGGTGGGAACAAAGAAAGGAGAGAATATAGAAAACGTTTATTCTCAGGAAATGCCTCCTGGCAATATATACCTTTGGTTGGAGAAGGCTCTGTTTTTTCTAATTGTGACTTTTTAGGTGTAGTAAGAGGTACTTTCTCTTCTGGGACAGTTCTCTCTGGCACTTCAGGTGCTTTAAAGATATTAGTAAATTTTCATTTTTGTGAATATTAAGATACATATATATACATACAATAATGAAAAGTGCAATGTCTAAAAAGAGTAGGGCATACAAAACATAAAGAATAATAAAATTTTAAGTGACATATTATTAATTTAGCTCTGCATACATCAGTGAAACAAGGGAAAAAGTATCCAGAGAATAGAGAAAAGAAGAGACTCAGTCACTGATGTATGTACCTTTAACTGAAGGAACTGTATGTTTCTTAAGGACAGGCATAGGCTCTGGTACTTTGGGCACAGTCACAGGCTCTGGCTTCTTGGGCACAGCCACAGGCTTCTTTGGCACAGCCACAGGCTTTGGGGGAATGACTGCTGGTACCTCCTCTTCTGACTCTTTCTCCTCAGCCACTTCAGGCACTTTAAAGATATTAGTTATTTTTACTTGAATGCACTAAAGATCATGCATATATAGAATCAAAATGATCAGATGCTGCTCTCACCCCTCCCCACAGAGTGCAGAGGGGCAAGGGACGCTCAGTACTGCAGCAAAAAAATCCAGAGAGCATGGAAGGCTCTTTCAGAGCACCACCATATACCTTCAGCTGGAGGAGCTTCTGGCTCTCCAGGCTTGGCAACCGGTGCCACCTCTTCTGGTGCTTCCACCTCCTCTTCCTCTTCCAGGACCTCAGCCTCAGGCATCTCAGGCACTTCAAAGATATTAGTGCGTTTCATTTTACATTGTTGAAAACACATGCCAAGTAGGAACAAAAACCAGGGCAACAGAGACACAGAACATCACAACACCAGCTCAAAACCTCACACACCCATGCAGCACTCTTTCCCCAACATGCACAACGTTGACAGTCTCAGTCAGGAATCAGAGACAGCCCAAGAGAGGGTAGGACAGTGCTTAGGAGAAGAAGATTAAGTATCTCCTTTGTTAATTTATCCAAGAAGACAGGTACCTCTGGGTGTTGGAAGCTCTGGTGCTTTGGCAGTGGCCACAGGTAGTCTTTCCTCACGAGTAACCTTCCTGGGCACCTCAGGTGCTTCAAAGATATTAGTAACAGTCAGTTTTATACAACAAAGAGGAAGATGCACAATGAAACATAGACTGGAGATGCACTCATGAAAGTAACCAAACGGGCCTCACAACATCAACTCATGTCTCTCTCTCTCTCTTGCTCTCAGACACGCAACACCTCACACAGCACAGGCACAGAGGAGTGATGCCTAGTGAGTTCTGTGAGAAAACTGTTGGCTATGTTTAGGTACAGCTTGAGGTGTGAATTAGGACACTCTGCTCTGTATTTAGCAGCCTTCCCTCCTTGGGAGGAGAGACTGTCATTCTCAGCCCCACTGGGATCTGGCTTTTCTCTGGGACCAACCCCAGCCCATATCTAATCTCTGCCATTCCTCATGAATCTGCTGGTGCTTGGAATTCAGCAGTCTGGGTAGAGACAGGGTGAGGAACACAGTAGTTCTCTTTTCTCCCTATTTTTCTCCTCTATTTCTGTTCTTTGCATATGCTTTTCTTTTTATTGGCTTATTTTCCTACCCTAACTACCTGTCGTGCTTCAATTTTCATTTTGCTGTGGCAACTTCCACAGCCTGAATGGTGCAATGGATTTTACAATGATTCTTTCTTCCTTATAAACCCCCAGATTATCAGCACTCTCTAAACACTCGATATGCTGTCACTTCTTACTGCACTCAAGTGCATTGCTGAGTAAAAATTGGGTTTTCATTTCAAGAAATTTATGTCTGTCATAAAAAACTACCTGAGTCTCTCTAAAGACTCATGTAGACACTCACTGACAATTTAAGATAACAGAATTGGCCAGCCATATGAAATACTTATGATAAATTGCTAAAATATATTATTTTCGTTTCTACTGACTCAAAGCATGAGAACAAAAGAGTAAATTCAAAATATAACCTGAGTTGTTGATAAAAAATACTAGATTATCAATTTCCTAACTGATACTTAACACAGAATGTAGAAATGTCACAAAATCACAAATGAACAGGACAGCACACATCCAAAGTAACATGTAAGACAGCAAGAAAGAGTCTCATTCAGACTGATGCACAGGGTGACAGGTACCTCGAACTGTGGCAGGTTCTGGCTTTTTTGGCACAGTTACGGGTACAGGCTCTTCCAGAACACCTTTCTTGGGCACCTTGGGCACTTCAAAGATATTAGTATATTTTAGTTTCGTGAGCACTGCAGATGTATATGAAGCAATAAGACAGTCAATAGTATATTCACACAATCTGTTTTGAGAAAGTGCTGTGGTTACATTCAGTCCTCAGTTATGCTTTGCTTCAAAGCTGTGGAATGACCAGGGTGTCAAATACATCACACAGGAGATGGGAATTCTGGGTTTGGTTTTTGTTTCTCAGTCAAGGTGCAAATGTAGAAAACATATGGGTTCTCAGTAACAGATGATCAGGGACTTATGGAATCCTACTGTATTTGTGCATCAGCCATGTTTCATTAAAGACTGTGTGTTCTGTCCTGGTTTAGGTAGTTACTGTCATCTTTCTACTAGTTACTTGGATAATATCACTATTTTTATCCTTCAGGTTGACTTCACCTTTCTTTTTCTGTCTTTGCACGTTTCCTCTCTTCTTTATCACATTTTCCTTCTATCATCTCCTGGCTTCCATTCTAATCACTAGATGTTGCTTATAAGTATTTCCTCTTATGTTAATTTAATTTTTTTGAATGATTATATCAGTGCTTTGAGGCAGTACTTCACAATATTTCAGATGGAGAGAATCTGGTGGCAGAATGAACATTTTCGCATAGAATTTTAGAATCATTTAGTTTGGAAAAAACCTTTAAGGTCATCAAGTCTAACTGTAAACCTAACACTGCCAAGCCCCATTAAACCATGTACTAAGCCATCCCTACTAATAATGTGAACAACTGTTTATGAATTCATTCTCTTGTTAGCATCTTTAAGTTTTTGGCATTTTTTCATAGACATAAGTTCATCATATCTGCTTGATATGTCCTAAACCTAGTACAGCAAAAGTTTGTATGGTTTTAGTTGAGGAAATATTTGACACCCCTGCACAGCAATTCATATTTGGTATATCTCTCACATTTTTGATATCAAAGTAATCAGTGAAAGATCAATTTGAACTGAGATTCATTAAAAAACCTCAACAACACCCTTCCTTACGATGATAATAGTGGTGACATGTACCTTTAGGAAGTGAAGCTCCTGTTTTTTTAGATACAGCAGGGGGCAGCTTCTCCTCTGGAACAGTCCTCTCAGCCATCTCAGGCACTTCAAAGATATTAGTGCATTTAATTTTACAACAACAATACAACAATGTAAGTACAGAGATTGAAACACAGAGGACAACAGAAATGTTCTGAAGTAACAAATTAGTACACACTCATATTCAGTGCAATTTGTTTAGCAAGCATCATTTAAAACAGATCCAGAATGATAGACAGAACAAAAGATGTTAAGATTATACTTAAGAGAAGACTAGGTGTGCTTGTCGTGTATTCATGATAACATGTAGACTGATGGAGCGTTTGATTTCTCAGGAACAGTTAGAGGAATTTTCTGTTCTGGGAATCCCTTTCAGGCATTTTATATTTAAAGATATTAGTTATGTTTATTAAGCTTTAAAATGAGCAGTGAAATATAACACACTCAAGAGAAGGAAAAGAGATCCTATGCATAAGAGGTACCTTTAGTCTGTGCAGCTGCTCGCTTTTTAGGTATAGCAATATGCTCTTGCTTTTCGGCCAACTTGGCTGGTGGTGGTTCCTCTGATGCCAAAACAAGGTCTGGTTCTTTGGATGCCACTTCAGGCTTTGGTTTTTGAAGTGGTGTAGAAGATTCTAGTTTTTGGGGTGCTAAAACTGTTTCTGGTTCCTCAGGCAGTATGACAGGTTCTGGCTCGCAGGGTGCCACAGCAGGCTTTGATTTTCTGGACACTGCAAAAGGCTTTGGCTTTTGGAAATCTGCAGCAAAGTCTGTTTCCTCAGCTGCTACAAGCTCTGTTTTTTGGGTCAGCACAAAATGTTTTGTTTTGGGGGGCACCAAACCAGGCTTTGATTTTTTTGTTGATTCAACTATCTCTGACTCCTCAGACACCACTGTGAGCTTAGGTTCCTTGGAGGCTATAAGTGGTTCTGGTTTCTGTGGTTCCAGAACTGGCTTTGGTTTTGAGGGCATCACACCATGTTTTAACTTTTGGGGTGGCACATCATGCTTGGGTTCCTCAGACACCACAATAAACTCTTGTTTCTCAAGCACTACAACATGTTCTGGTTC